TAGAAAAATGGTTCCCCCTTAAATCAAAAATCGACGGGTACGAGGGTTTTTTCTTAAATGTCTTGGGGAGCCCAAAATCACCTCTGTTTCGTTTTCAATTTATAGTTCTTTCAAAACGAGCTTTTCCATTCTACTGCAAATTATGCTTGGCTAATGTTAAGCGAATACTGGGCTTAATGGATCGTGTGGAACAACTTGAAAAATCTCTTGAGGATCTACAAAATAACTTACCAACAATCCAAGAGTCTGTGGTCGCTGCTACAACCTCTATTGAGGAAAGAATCCCTCGCTTGGAATCCATTACCATTACCACAAATACATCGACCCAACAGGTTCCTTCAACGACTTCACCACCACCTTCCACTCCATCTATTGATTTGCTAACTGAACTTCATTACCGTCAGAGTAAAGCTAATAATTTACTACTCTTCAACTTATCTGCGTCAGAAGATGATCTTTCAGAGGTTCGCTCTATACTACAGTTACTGGTTGACACTCAATTTACGCTTTGTCGGGTGTCTCGCCCTGGCAAGCCCAACTCAAATAATGCATACCCTATGCGAGCTGTATTGGGATCACCATATGAAGTTCAGACTGCGCTTCGCAATCGACATAAACTCAAAAAATCTACATAAAGTGTGACTTGACACTTAGACAGAGAGAACTTGAAAGAACAGCGTTGGAGGATCTGAAAAGACGTCAGGATCAGGGTGAGCAAAACATACAAGTTATACTCGTCAAGGGCATTCCTCGAATCGTGCCAAAAAAATAACCGAGGAGTCAAGCCTCAGCCACACCAAACACACCGCAGAACGTAGAAGAAAACCAGTAAGTTATGACATACCTGGTATACTACCAGAATGTTCGCGGTCTCAGAACAAAGCTGGACAAACTTCGTTGCAATATAGCTGTGAATAACTATTAAATAGTGGCATTCACTGAAACTGGTTTAAGTGAAAACTTTTATACTGCCGAGCTTGGTTTTGATTCATATAATGTGTTTCGCTGTGATCGCTCAAGAGCTACCAGCACTGCTGAGCGCCTTGGTGGTGTTCTTATCGCTGTTCATCAGTCAATACCATCCCGTCTCATTGGTGCAACAGGTGACATCGAGCAAGTTTTTGTCGTTGTAGGCAGTGGTAGAAAAAAATGGTTCTGGGCTGCGTATACCTTCCACCAAACTCCCCAATTGAGAAGTACGAAAGCTTTAGTAACAACTTGGAAGATATCTCTGAACAATTCAGCCATACTGAATGTTGCATCATAGGGGATTTCAATCTCCCCAAAGCCAGATGGACTTTAGAAGACATCTGTTCGGTGGCTCTCCATAATATGGAGGGTTACCTTGCTCCTACTGAAATCAATAAAATACAACATATGACAGAAGTATGTGCTTTTCACAATCAATCTATACCAACTTAATAACATTTATAATATCAATAATGTCACCCATGACTTGATATTCTCCCACTTAAGGATCCCTATAACTCAGCCAGATGAAGACGACTACCTGCTTCCGTTAAATAATAACCATCCACCCCTGTTGTTTCAAGCCACACTGCAACAGAATCACTGCAATTCAAATCCATAAGGAGATGGATACTATTATGACTTTAAAGCCTCAAACTTCAACGACATAAACTATTTGCTTGGCTCTATTTCCTGGGATAAGCTGCTTTTGTGAATGAGATGATTAACATTCTGTATAGTTTTTTATATGAAGCCTTTGATCTCTTTGTACCTGTTGAAAGAATAGCCAGTGGAAGGTTTCCCAAATAGTTCTCACAGGATTTGAAGGCACTCATTATACAGAAAAAAATCAAAATATAAACAAAGTCGCCTACCTTCGGATTATCTGGCATTTTCTGACTTGAGCTCACAGTGCAATCTGCTCTCTAGAGAGAATTTTCGTGAATACCTAATTGAAACTGAATCGCGTGATCCAAAACAGTTCTGGTCCTATACTAAATCTATACAAAACTCGAGTAAGCCTCCTACAAGTTTTAGACATAATGGTCTCTTTGCCGAATACTTTGGTTCAGTCTATCGTGATCAAGTATTGGATTTCCCAGATCAACTTCTCCTCACAATTTATTTGATTTCACTATTGCTTTCTCTGACATCTACATGGAGCTAAATAGCATCGAGCCAAACAAGGGACCATGGCCTGACCATATCCAGGAGAGCTTTTGAAACTATAGATAGATTCACATTGTTGAAAAAAAAATGGAATAATTAGGAATGGGGGATGAAGTTTTAAATTGGTTCAAATCATATCTGTCTAATAGAACTCAAAAAGTTAGATATAAGAATAAGGTGTCTGCTTTATTCAATACAACCTACGGAGTGCCTCAAGGAACTGTGTTAGGCCCCTTATTGTTTTTAATGTATGTCAATGACGTTGTTAACTTGATTGATGGTATAATAGTAATATTGAATTGTTCGCAGATGATACAATCTTATAATATACAATGTGTCCAAGATAAGAAGGGCCAGTATGGGGATCTCGGGAAAAGTGAAAGATACGACCTTGCTCAAATTAGGAAAAAGTTGCGCAATTTGGTGCTCATTAAAATATCGCTCTAATATTTTAAAAATTCCGAGTTATACTGGAGATATCCGGGAAAACCCGACATTCGCCCAGAAGGATTTTATTTTTTTCTGACCTTATTTGAAGAGATATTTCAAAATAAATTCCACTTAATCATTGCCACTTTACCTCCCCTACAATATAGCATTATCAAATTTGTAATCCGACGTTTCGTTCTTGGGCCACCATATCATTAGATCTCCATACTGGCCCTCCTTATCTTGGACACATTGTATAGTTGGTAATGATCTGAACCACATGAAACTCACTATTAACAGTGATCTGAATCGATTATTTGAATGGTTGTGCAAAAATGAATTGAGCATTAATACTCCTAAATCTAAGTTTTGTATATTTGGAAAAAAAAACAGAAATTGGCTAGTATTAATTTAGAAAACATAAATATTGAAATAAATAGTGAAAGGTTCCTACATGAAAATAAAATAAAATATCTTTGAGTCATTTTAGATTCAGAACTAAGCTTTCGCCATCATGCTGATTATATCATGAGGAAATTTTCTCAAAGAGTGGGGTTTATTTATAGAGTTGGCAATAATCTCTGTATGTACACCAAGTACCTTATGTATAACTGCATTGCAGCACCCCATCTAAAATTTTGCGCTACACTATTGTATAACTTGCCTAACTATGAGATGAATGAATTTCAAGTGATTCAAAATAGAGCTCTAAGAACGATTCTGAAATGTAACAGATACACTCCTGTAAACCTAATGTCTTTTTGTATAAAATAAGAAATAAGCTGCTATATACCTGAATATGTCTGTGATAAAGTAAAGTATTTTAAGAACGTTCATACTCATACTTATCAAACAAGAAACTGTGATGATTTTATCCTAATCGATAGGTACCTATTGCTCAAACCAAATGTCGAATTCTATTCTGTATAGAGGACTCTCTGAATATAGTAAAATCCCAAATAATATAAAAAACTGTGATAACTTTAAATCTTTGTTGAAGGAATATGTTGTATCGTAATTTTAAATATCTGTAAATTGTTATGTTATCTTATTGAATTGTTATATTATTGAATTATTATATTATTATATTGTTATACTGTTTTGTGGTCTCTCAATGTAGAAGGGATTGTTTTTGTATGTAGCCCAAAGCTAATAAATATATTATTGTTATTATTATTCCAGCCTCTTGAATTTTCTTCATTTCCACAATTTCGAGGTCCCAGAATAAAGAAAAAACAAATTGGAAAAATTGAGAAATAGAGAGAAGAAATTCGGGAGAAATTGAAAAGAAATTGGTATAGATACAAAGTATATTATTTCTAGTCCAAGCTCTTGAACTTTCTCTACTCACCGAAGTATAGAAGAAAACGAAAACTCAAGAGATGAGAATAGACAAAAATTGATATAGAAAAATGGAGAAATAAAAAGAAGAAATATAAGAAAAAATTGGTAGATAGATGGAAATTAATATTTTTTCGAACGAAAACTCGAGAGCCAGGAATAGACAAAAAAAGAGACGGAAAAATTCAGAAATAGAGAATGTTTAGGGGCAAACGATTTTATCAGATTTTGAGTCGATAGATTATTTTCTTTTTGAACCAGACAATATTCCGATTCAAATGAAATTTTTGAAACTACGAGACAATACTTCGAGAGAGAGAAACTGCAAATTTTAGGGTTTTGGTATGATACCTAGGTAAGAAAAAAGCAAAAACTTTGAAACAGTTTCTCATGAAAAATATCTTGCAGTAATGCATCAAATTAGGCCTCTAAAAGATCAGTAGTGTTGTGTGCCCAATGGGCTCAGTATTCCAATCTTAAACTTCAGGCAAGTGTTGCAAAGTTCTTGAAAATACGTTTGAAATTTAAAAAAGTGTAAAGCCTTTTGGGCAAACTAAAGTCAACTCACAAGCCTAATTAGATTATTTTATCATTGTTCTAAATCCGGTGGTATGCCGAAATATCAATATCGATAATTGAAGATCGACACTTTTAGGAAAAAAAGTTTAAATTTAATGTTCAACAGTTCTGAAAAAATTTCCTGGGAATTAAAATCTTACACTAAAATAGTCAGTTTATAAACTAATTTAAGCAGTTTGGAGCCCTTTGTTCGAGCAAGCTAAAGTTCTTTTGGATAACTTAATAGTAATCTGTGGTAGTATCATGCTTTCTTGGAACTTAAAATCTTAAATTTATAGAAAAAATAATTTGCAGAAAAAGATTATAGCGACTAAGTAATATGTATTTCAAATTTTTAGCTTCCAGTGGTAACAATTATTGTTTTAGTTGGTTACGTTTCAAATACTTCTTATAGATTTTTCCAACTAGGTAATTAACTTTTTGTCATAAATATTACCTCATATTTATGAAAGGATAATTAGTGTAAAGTGTAAACAAAAACATTCAAATAAAATAAAAAATACTATATTCACCTCGAATCAACCTCCTCCAAAAACTCGCCCTCAAACCGCCACTAAAATCCACTACTCAAGCCAACCGAAAAAGTCTCTGAAATTTAAAAACAACAAAGTCGCGTTTATTCTCAACTAAGAACAAAAAAATATATCTCGTTATTATTCGCAAGCCGGTGGTCGACTGAAAGAGCCGAAACAGTACCCAGTGCGGTGGTACCGCGCTGATGTGTGTGTCCAGTGGGTGACCATCAGCATCCCATATGGACCGATTCTTTAAACACCTCCATGGTCGGACAGACTCAGGACTATGTCATAGTGTTATATTTAGAACGGTTTTGAAGAGTGTAGGTGAACAGACGTTGAATCATTACCTAATTTTATCAACAAACAAAAAGATAAGATCTGAGTATTGAATTTCATAATTTATGTGCAAGAATGCAATTTTGTTGATTGTGTTTTTGAGGCACGTCTAGAAACGCAATATTACATTACATGGCAGTTTGATACAAAGTTGTTTTGAACTTGGCGGTACTTGCTTTGAAAGTTCAACTTTTCTTTGATAGAGTGATGATTCGATTTACATTAGATAGTAGGTATAGGTAACAAATAGAAATAATCAGTTTTTATGTTATGGAAAGCTTGGGGCAAAGATAATTTTCAATTTCTTTAGGATTGAAATTAGTCAATAATTTGATCAATCAGATATTTCGAAATTTATTAGCAATATGAAGAAAAACCAGTTTATGTTTCTTTCCAAAATGAAAGATATTGCAGATGCCAGATTTACCTTGGAATTGCTAACAAAATAAACTGAAAAGAAAATTCGTATACATTGAAATTACCTGGAAGAAATGGTAAAGCTGTTGCGACCCGAGTTTTGATTGAAGAAAAACTTTCCAAGGATATGACACCAAAAACCGGAGAAGAAATTGAAAAGATGTTCAAAATCTAGGTACCTATACCAATAGTACCTACTAGTTGGAAGCTTGCTGTTCGCTTTGCTGCATAGATTACAATAAGACCTGATCAGAGCAAATTTTCTCATGATCAAAGTCCATTTCATTGGTGCAGGAAGTTAAAATAATTTTGCGATATCTTAAAGGAACATACAAGAACTTTATGGATTAGAAAATGAGAAGAGGAATGTTGTTGGCCGGTTGATGAAGACTGGGCTGACGAAAGACGATGTTGAGGAAAGTGGTACTATTCGGAACTGTCAGGATAAGTTATTTTTATCCAAATCTACGCAAACTCCTGAGAGTTCCGAATTAGTTCTAGCGATGTTTGACATCCAATAATAATACGATAGGAATTTGTCGTATTTTCATCTTTACCCAAATACCGTTTTAATTCCAAAATTCCGAGAAGTACCTATACGTTTTTGAATAGGTCGAAATGTTTGAAATTAGATAATTTCGAAACGTTAAATCTTGTGTTCTCGCCCTTAACTTTGTGCCTGTGGAACTATCATCCGAAATGGGATAACTACAAATTCCTTTTACATTTTCAGAAAATATCTTCGATACATACAACTATAGTATAGGTAATGCATGCATGTCTGACTCTAAGGTTCAAGTTTCTGACACAGACTGATAATAACTTGAAGTTCCTCAGAGCCCAAAGATGTCAAAGATCATTAATTTTTTCTGCGTTTCGCTTTTCGCATAGGCCAAGTCAAATGATTGAAAATAGCCTTGCTTTTTTGCAATTCCTCAATTTTATTTGCGATTCATGCCGAATTATTTAAACACGTCGTGTTATCCGACAATTCAAGCATTCAAAATGTTTGGTGGATGATTTCCAAATTGAGGTTTCATATTTCGATGCGAGTTTTTCAAGATGCATCAGAGCAGTGTCGTCTATTGATATTTTGGTATTCTCCATGGATAAAGAAAAGAGGCATTTTGAAGGATTTAGAGGATTTTTTTAAATAAAATTTGAAGCAAGTAACTACATATTAGGTTTATTTGAATAGCGGTATAATTTTGTCAATACGTTTATGTTTTTGATGCAAAATCTGCCAAAAATCAAAGTTTTGAATCTTCTCTCCCTTGTTAGCTTTCTCTCTTGTATAGTTATTGGTTATTTGAATCCCCATATGACTCGGATTCATACGAGGTCCTAGGCAAAATAGTTCAGGTTCAAAAGTTTTGTTAATCAAAACTATCAAAAAATATTCGAAAGATTTTTTATTTGATAAATTCAAAGCAAGTCCTTGACAGTTTCAATCACGTCTGCTGTTATTATAATCTTGTATCTTGTACTAATAAGGTTTCAAGATAATGGTTTACTAAAGAGATAGGTATTAAATTGATCATTTTGGACTTAAATTTCATGTCAACCAATAAAAAATTTAAATTAGAAATGTTTGAAAGTTGTTCAGTTCTGCACACTCGCATAGATAGGAAATTAACTTTTTCAGAGCCAGCCAGCGTGTTACAAATCAAACTCCTTTGAGAGCGTATACCGTATACTTTCTGTTTCTATTATTCTATTCATAAGAAAAATACCTACCCACTTTTGTTTTTTATAATGGATAAACCTAACAATTCGCTTAGTCCCTTTTAAATATTATGTAAAGTAACAAAAATCATCACAAATTAAAATGGCATATTTATTTTTTACTCATTATCCTGATTTTATGTATAATGCATCTCGTACTCGGTGCCAGGGTCATCTCCATGGTTCGCGTGCTTGCAGGTCGACCATCAAGCAGACCAGACGGTTGGAATTGAAAATAAGGACTTATATGGCTGTGGGTCAATGCCGAAAAGAATTATAAACGTGCAATCGGTATAGAATAACGAGCGAATTACTCAGCTTTAATGAAAAACAGATTGTCGAAGATATAACCAATATTATTATTATTGTAAGATCAAAAATTTAAAAAAAATAGCATTTTTTCTTTTGACTACATATTACTATGTCGAAATTTATCCTCAAATTAAATATTTTTTCTCAGATATTGGATGTTCTAGATAAAGAAAGACGATTTTTATACTTTAGTTCCTGTCATTGGAAGAATCGTGTTAACTATGCCTACATATTATCTATTGTTGAACAGTTTCCTCCTGGAGAGACTGGAGAGTCCAAGAAATATTAACATAAAAATCTGCACGTAAAAGTTAGAATGAAATCTCAAAATCAAGTATTTTAATAAAAATAAGAAACGTTTCAGATTGTTACCTTATTTTATGTGGGGAAAACGCACGAGAAACTAAACGCCTTAAGGTACTTGGTTGACCACACTAGAAGTATTTCCCTCAATTCAATTTTAAGTTTGAAACGTTTATTTGAAGTGACGAAATAGATAAACAAAAAATGGTTCCTGAAAGAAGAAGGATCCGAAAAAAAGTGTTAATTAAATTAATAACAATAATAACCGTAAAAATGATATTTCAATTATACCTACATAGAAACATTTCAAAATAAAAACTTTTACAAATAAAGACATATTGTCACATACCACTAATTATACATAAAAAAAATAAATAAACAATAACGTCAATAAGGATGATTTAAAATTTGACTACAGAACTTGAGATCTGAGGGCAAAATAGGCCCTTGTGTTCAATAATTTTCAAGTTTTGTTTCTATCAGCTATTGGGGTAGGTTTCTAAAAGCAACAGGTAGTTTATTCCTGATCTTCAGGATACTGTACTTGACACTCCTCTGGATGAATGTAAAGCGTGCAATGTTTGATGTATAAGGTTTTGTTTATTCCTTGTTGAGTAGTTAAGAATATGCCTTCCAAGATGTATAGATAGTGTGTACATTATTTATTATTTATAAAGTATTCCCTACAACTGTCCTTGTTTTTTAGTTTGAGTACGGCTCTTAGCTTAGGCATCTTTTTTGTGGTTTTAAAATCCATGAGTTGCCCCAGAAAAAAATTCCATACCGTATTCTGGACTGCACAAAAGCATGGGAAAATGAGAGCGACACAGCCGAGCCAACATTATCTCTCAGCATTCTAAGAGCATACACATATCATATCTGCTCATGATGATCCAGACAGTTTTACAATGTGCTTTGTCCAGTTTAGCTTCCCATCTAGCACCATACCCAGATTTTCCATACAATCCTGTGATACTAGATCATCCGCTCCATATCCTACACACAAATTTTCTTGCTTTGGTTTGAAATGTATTAGGGTTTGGTTTTTTTGACATTAAGGAGCAAATTATTACCTTTATACCACTCTTCAAGTGTTGAGATACTTTTTGCAATTTCTTTTTTTACTTGTTCTTCTGTTTTGTTGCTACAAGTAATGATTGTATCGTCAGCAAACATAACGACCTAATTTTTTATTATGTTTTCAATTTCACAAGTGTATAGTATATAGAGGAAAGGTCTCAGAACCGAACATGCGGAACTCCCTTTGATATTTTGGAGTAATTTGATCTTATTTACATTCCAGTGTCTTCCAGTTCCTCGACACATTGTTGCCTGTCTGTCAAGTACGACACAAAAAGTTTAAGTTCAGTTTCCCTTACCCCAAGTAGTTCCAGTTTTCTTCTTATCAAGCTACCATGATCTACGCTGTCAAACACTTTTGAGAGATTCAGACAAACAGCCACAGTGGTTTGTTTGTTGTTTAAAGATTCAAGGATTTTATGAAGAGCCTGATATACTGCTCTTATTGTATTCTTTCCCCTTCTAAATCGACTAAATCCATTTTGTTTGCCTGACAGGACCCTCTCTTGCTCTAAGAAACCGGTAAGCCTTGAATGAATCACTTTTTCAAATATTTATCGCAAAGATATATCTAGGTCTGTAATTTTGGAGATCTTTTTTATCTCCCTTCTTAAATATTAACTTGACATTAGTATATTTCAATTCTGAAAAAAAATGACCTTCCTTTAGACAAAAATTAATGACATGTACTATTGGTGGTGCTAGATAGTCTACCGCTTCTTTCAGAATTTTAACTGGAATTTCATCCTTTTCTATACATAATTTTTGTTCTTCACATTTTCAATAATTGTTTTTATTTCTGTTTCAGTCACAGACTCAAAAGATACTGAATTTTTGACAGGTGTCACTTATTCTATTATGCCTTTTTGCTTTCTTGATTTATATTAGGGCAGATATTCAAAAAGAAATTGTTCACTGTCTTTAAGAACTGCACCTTGTCTGACTGTTCAGTATTGCCAAAAAGTGTCGTTTTTTATTGTTT